ATACGGCTTTGCCGTGTCCAATTAAAATATTATTTAAATTTGATCGGACATGCGTATACGCTTGTCCTATTAAAAAAAATAGAGCCGTAATTTGCCCTATTCATTTCGGCTATCCGCTCGATATCCCTATTCATTTATGCGGCTTAAACATTTCGGCGAGCTAGATTTTTCGTTTCCGCACAGGTGTTCGTCTTCTTCATTATAGTCGAAGGAGCAGCTCGAAGACGCGAGCGTAGAAGCAAATAGGATCATCCTTCGTCGACAAAGATGCTCGACGACGCGAGCATTAAAGCCGACAAAATCCTTCGTCGACGGAGTGGCTCGACAACACGAACAGTGAAGGCGACGTGAGCATTGAAGGTTTGTTTTCTTCGTTCTTCATTTTCTTAATCGTAGGCTCGGTACCAAAACTCTATACCGCTTGGTACTTAGTACTCGGTACCGCTCGATACTCGGTATCGCTCGGTACTGCTCTCTACCTTCTCGGTACCGAGCGATACTAGAACTCAGTATCGCTCGGTACTGCTCGGTACCGCTCGGTGCCGAGCGATACTAGAACTCAATACCGGTCGGTACCTGAACTCGGTACCGCTCGGTATTGCTCAGTACAGAGGGGTACCGAATGGTACCAAGCAGTACCGAGAAGTTAGAGAAAACTTTAAAGCAGGTCGAACCCCGTCAGGGGGCAGCGCCCCCTTGGACCCCCTGCATAGGCACAACATATTTGTACTTTTAATTAAAAATTTTCATATTTCAAATTCATGTGGATTAATTTGTTTCGATCATTCGTAGGATAATGAGCTCTACTAGTGTAGGAATTAGGTCTACTGATGGTCCATCAGAGACCAATATTGAAGATAACAAACCTCTGTGGGGTTATGTGACAAAAATAGGTAAAACGTCAGAAGGGGTGACAATATTGCATTCAAATGCAATTTTTATAATGCCACATACAAATGATTATATTATAAGTAAAAGCTCATTTGTTAAAGATTAGTGGTCATGAAATTAAAATATGCCCGAATATAAGCTCATCACAAATGGTTGAATTATAAAAAAAATAGTGAAGCTGAGCAAAGGAGTAAAAAAGAGCTTTCAAAACATATTCCACTTCCAAGCACTCATGCTTCATATCCTTTATCATCTTCTTCAATTAAAAGTGATGACAATACTGTAAATAAAGGCCCTTTTCAGATGGAGGGATTTGAACCAAAAAGAAAAAAAACATATTGTAGATAGTGCTTTGGAGAAAGCATTTAATTTATAAATGAGAGAACAACTAGATGGAGAAATAGCTAGAATGTTTTATTCAGTTGGACTTTCTTTTAACCTAGCAAGAAATCCACATTACAAGAATGTCTTTACCTATGCATGCAATAACAATGTTGCAGGATACGTGCCACCAGGATATAAT